CTATCTTCCCTGGCATTAGTGTGCCCCAGGCTTTCAGTTCCGTGCACCCTTGCCTGCACACAGCTTCCTGTTCCATGGCTTGCCTCTGAAGATGTCCACCTTCATCTCAATAATCTCACTTCCTGGGGCAGGCTGGTACCTATGCATTTTCCACAGGAGCAGCTCTTTCCAGCTGCATTCTGACCTTGTCACTCTGGCCTGAGCATGGCTGATTAAGGTCCATTGTGTGACCTGCTATGCCCCCCCCCCATATATCTAGTGTTCTCTTCTCTCTTTGTGGGTGTGTGCCCCATGGGACCTGGCCGGTCCTCATCCTTCTGCTCTAGCTGCAGAGTTCTGTGTACCCTAGGTCTTGAGGAAGTACCCAGCACTCTGAACATCCCACAGATACCTCTTGTTCACTCTGAAGTTCCCTCCTCTTGGGTTTGCCTGCCTGCCAAGCAGGAGTATCTTCAAGGCCATCGCTGTGTTTTATCTGTGTTTCTATGACAGACCTTCACCAGGCCCCCTTCAGTGAGGCATCTTCTTCATTGGGATGAAGAACCTGTGCCTGGACACCAAATCCAGCTATGTGGCTTTGGGCAGATAGGTGACATCTTTTTTTTAAAGACTTACTTATTCATGCATAGAAGAACTGGGATATAGGCAGGGGCGGGGTGGCATGGTGGTGAAAGGATTCACCAGAGACAGAGTGGGGAACAGAACAGGCAGACTGACCAAAATACACTGCTGCAGGGAACAGCAGATGAGACAGGAGAGGTCTGCTGCACCATGTGGGTAGCTTCCTGGCTGGCCGGGGATGGAAGGGGATGGAATTCGTGCTGCAGAGGCTGCGAATAGCTTCACAGTGCTGTGCTTAACCCCTTGCACCACCAGAGAGGCCCAAGATAGGTGACTTCTGTGCCTTATCTTCCTCCCTATAAAAAAGGAGTGATAATTTATAGAGCGTCACATAAGAGTTTCTTTTTTTTTATATAAATACTGTTGTGAGGTTTTTTTAATAATATTTTTTATTTATTTGTTGATTTATTTATATTTATACAAGCACTGGGTACAGTCAGAAGCGCGGGAGGGTGAGAGAACTCACCAGAGCCAGAGCGGGGAGCAGAGCAGGCAGAAGGACCGAAACACACCACCGAGGGGACCAGTGGCCGGGGAGCAGCTGGGGATGGAACCAGTGCTGCAGAGGCTGCGGGCAGCTTCGCAAACAAGTGCTAAACCGCTGCGCCACCGGGGAGGCCCTCTTTTTTTTTTTTTTTAAAGATTTATTTATCTATTTATACAAGCACTGGGTACAGTCAGAAGCGCGGGAGGGTGAGAGAATTCACCAGAGCCAGAGCGGGGAGCAGAGCAGGCAGAAGGACCGAAGTACCCTGGTGAGGGGAGCAGCGGGCGGCAGGAGAGGTCTGCGTGCCATGTGGGACCCTTGCCCAGTGGCCAGGGGTTTCCCCGGCGCTGCAGAGGCTGCAGGCAGCTTCACAGCCCAGAGCTCAGCTGCTGCACCACCAGGGAGGCCCAAGAGTTTTCTTAATAGGTCAACTTATGCCTGGCTGACCTCCTCCTTTCTGTATGTCTTCCAACAACCCCTACAATAGCAGGGACTGTGGCTTATTGGGAATGGGAGACTCCAGAGACTTGCTTGTGCTGGGGGTTGGGGATGGCACTGTGAGAGGTTTGTGAGAAGACAGCCTTGAAGGTACAGAAACTGGGGTGGTGGTACTAATAGGGCTTAGAAAATAGGACCATGAATACTTCAGGAGGCCTTGGGGGTCTGGTGGTAAGTGCATGTCTCAGATTCTTAGTCCAACACTCAGATGCAGGGCCCCTTTTGGATACTGTTGGTAGATGTGTAGTTACAGGGGCCCCAGATAGGGGACTGCTGGGTGTGCTGTGAAGAGAAGAGGCCAATCAAGATGCCCCCCCCACACACACACACACACATGCACACACACACTATACTACACCCAAGCTCAGCAGCTTACCATTTGCCTACAGGGGGCTCTTGGTTTAGGAGGATTCTGAGACCAGGTTGGGGCTCAGGAGTGAGGGCCCAGTCAGTGGTCAGTTTCCTATATGGCAAAGGAGGGCTGTGTCTACTGTCCCCTTACTCAGCCTGATGGGAACCAGGGTTGTATCAGAAGGAGGCAGAATGGAACCCATTTGAAGTAGTGTGTAGCTAGAGGCAGGAGAAGGCCTCCACAGAGACAACGTGGACAGGAAGGACAGGAGGACCCCTGGAGAGGTATTCCACAGCTAGGAACAGCCACTGACTGCACTCATAACTGCTGCACTCAGTACTGTGCCACCCATCTCGAACAGTATGGAGGGGACAATTTCTGTCCCTCTTGTCTGACTTGCAGTGCTTCTGTTATCAGCCAGGGTGGGGTCTCAGGGCAGGCACTATGCACAGTCTGTTCAGTCCTGAGCACCTATAAGTTGATGACTCTATCCTGGAATAGGTGAATCCTAAGGTCAGGGAAGGGAAGTGACTTGCTCTGTTCCTTATAGGGTGCTTTAGGGAACCCATTCCCTGCTCAGGGACAAGCATGGGGAGGGACTGTGGGCACAAATGGGCAGCAGGGCCTGCATCAATGAATCCCATGAGGTCAGCATGCTCCTGAGATGATGGGCACCACCCTGTCCCTTTCCCAGGCAGCCCAGCATCCACACGACCAGCCTAGTTCCCAAACCCATCTTGTGTTTGCCTGCTTGTCCCTCCTTGGCTTGCAGGACCCTTCTCCCTACCCCCTAACCCCCAGTCTGTCCTTTGGGAGTCCTATGCTCTGCTGGTGTTACTTACCTGTCTCCTGCCACCACCAGGGGAGGCCCTATGAAAATTGCTAGAGAAGGAGGTAGCCTGAGATACCCTGGTCAGAGCTGGGCAGAGGCAGGGACTCGGAGTTCTCAGGGGTTTACTCCTGCCCCCTTAATGTGTGGGGTTTGGGTTAGAAAGATGATGATTAAGGAAGCACGGTTCTGCTCTTCCTCCAGCTGCTGCTGCAGGCCCACACATCTGCTTCCTCAGTGCAGCTTTTCATGGGCTGCATGGCATTTGTTTTGTAGGGGACAAATCTCAGGCTTTTCTGTCAGTTGAAGAGGATACCAGTAAATCAGTAGAGACTGGGAACTGGGGCCTCAGCATTGCCCACCTTGGAAAGGGCTTTACAGTTTGAAGGCAAACTTGCTTTATTTTGATAGCCAATGCGTTTATCTTAGTGGGAATAAGAAAAAATAGAACTTTGCTCCTCAAAGCCCAGATACTATTGCTCAGACTAAAGTGGGAAAAAAATGTAAAGGACAAACAGGTGGTATATAGAATCCAAGTTTTCTTCCCACCCTAGCATCTGGGATTCTTGGGGGTCCCCTCTCTGAGCTGTTTGAAGGTGTGTATCCCTAGTGCAGAGGAGTTTGAGTGGGACTCCAGATTCGGTATGCGTTTTCTTTTTTTTTTTTTTTTTTTTTTTTTTTTTTAAGATTTATTTATTTATACAAGCACTGGGTACAGTCAGAAGCACAGGAGGGTGAGAGAATTCACCAGAGCCAGAGCGGGGAACAGAGCAGGCAGACTGACAAAATACACTGCTGAGGGGAGCAGCGGGTGGCAGGAGAGATCTGCGCGCCATGTGGGACCCTCGCTGGCAGCCGGGGATCGAACCAGCGCTGCAGAGGCTGCGGGCAGCTTCGCAGCCCAGCGCTCAACTGCTGCACCACCAGGGGAGGCCCTTGGTATGCGTTTTCTTACCCAGTCAGTGTACCGTATATTTTAAGATATTTTTTAAAGTTTTATTTATTTATGCATACAAGAACTGGGGTACAGGCCAGAGGGGCGGGGGCGGGAGAGAGGATTCACCAGACAGAGTGGGGAACAGAACAGCGGGTCTACTGAAATACACTGCTGAGGGGAGCAGCAGGTGAGACAGGAGAGATCTGCCATGCCATGTGGGTCAGCTCTTTGGCCATCCGGGAATCAAACTCGTTCTGCATTGGCTGTGGATAGCTTCAGTGCTGTGCTTACCCCCTTGCGCCACCAGGGAGACCCTGTACTGTATTTTTTATTACTTTTGTTTTCCTTATTGTAGCCAGTAGGTTTCTATTCCATAACATCCCACTTTTCAGCTACCAGTGAACTCATAATATTTGGGTTGTAATCTTGTAGCCTTCTTGCTCCCTTATGCTTATTATAGATGCTGGGCACAGCTTAGTGGTCCTGTCTGTCTGTATTTTGGTTGCAGGTGGCCTGGGGGCTGTGGACCTGTGCCACCTAGCTTGGTGGCAGGGCTGACAAAGCGCATGCTCAACTTTGGAATGCTTAGGATGCTGGGACTGTTGGCTACTGCAGCACAACTTGTGTCTAGCTCACAGCCTTCAGAGGGTATGCAGGGGATATCAGCTGTTGACATGACTTCTCAGTGGTATGAGTATTCTGGATTTCATTTCAGCTGTCTTGGTGGGGGGCAGAAGAATAGAGCACTGGACCCTAGGGCAGGACAGGATATGCTACCAGTTAGTATTGCTGAATTAGTGAGAAAGATGAGGTGCGTGTGGGTGGCAGACCAAACCCTCCCATTTGGGACCTGGGCCAAAGGCTAGTCATATCTGGATAGACTTGGAATGATCAAAGAGTCAGCTTAAAAACGGCCCTAGTGAGTGACTATGTGATGATACAGTGGAAGCCTGTATGGATGATGGTTAAGAGGTACCAGGCAGCCTGCAAAGTTGAGGTTACCTCTGCATGGTATGAGGACAGATGGGGGAAAGGCATTCCTGATGTTTTCCATGTCAGTTTTTAAAAATGAGTTGCTTTGCTATTCACTTACTCTTGATTGTCTTAGTAGTTGTTTTCTGATTTCTGATCTTAAATATGATGGACAACATTAAACAACTATGAGAAGTAGACTTCTTACCTCCAATCGGTGCTGCCAAACAGACTTGAGAAAGTAGAGATGCGTGAGATTTATTAAGCTGGATGTAGCACAAAATGAAACAGCAGTTTGGAACCTTCCCATCAGTGTCAGATGGGCATGGCTTTAGGGTATGGCTTCAGATTCTCGTTTGGCCTCAGCAAGCCCTTCTGCTTCTTTTTGCCTCTGTCTTCTCATCTGTGGAATGGGGATAGTTAAACTTCCCATCAAGGCTGTTCTGAATTGAGATTATGGTCACCAACCAGCAGCACAGGGGCACAGGATGGGAATGACAACTGGATTGTCATCTGGAGTATGACTCATACTGTATGAAGTCTGAAAAGCGCCTGGAACTCCTGGAGAAAAAGTCAAGTCTCGAACTCAAGTCTGCTGCCTGTATGGACCTGGGGCTAGAAGGCCTAGGGGGTGCTTGTTAAACCCCTGCCATGCCCAGTGGGTATGAAGGGGACAACCTCTCAGTGCAAGAAGTATGGCTGAATGGTGGGGTGCCATCCTCAAGTGAGGTTTGAAACTGAAATGCCTCCAGCTGTCCCAGCTAATGGCAAGTTGTTTTTAGATTTGGGTTGTGATCTGGTATGCCACACAGGGACCTCAGGACAATAGGAAGGTTGACAGGGAGGGACAGCAACCCCTGTAACCCAGACCTCACATTGCCTAGGACATTTGGAGAAGTCTTGGGAGACCCCATCCCTCTTCCAGGCACCCCCTGTTCCTTTCTGAAAGAATGCTGTAGGAGAGGGGACAGATCTCTTCTGTCACCTCCACCTTAATTCTGCCAGCCTCCTGGATTCCTAGAAATGCTCTTGTACTATTGTGTCCCTCCCCAGGTAGAGTGACAGACTGATAACGATCTTTGATTAGAGCTGAGGTAGGGACTCAGTCCTTTCTGTGTGTGTCTTTATCCAAGGAGGTGCCAGTGCCTGCTGACTAAAGCTGAGGCTGTGGTCAGCACTTGTAGGCAGTGTGGCACTGGTGCTGGTCCTAGAGGGTTGCCTATGCTGGGCCTATTTCTTTACTGTGCTGGCTGTCCTTTTGGGGACACTCCCATCTTCATCAACCAGGGCAGAGTAGCAACTCTGACATATACCACAGTGGTTTGGCCAGGACAGATTCAACTCTGTTTTCTCGCACCCACTTGGTAAATGAGGTGGATTCGTAGTCCAAACTGGTAGTGAGCACAATTTAGATAGTACCAGTTGCCATCAAATATTTGGACCTTTAGAGCAAAGTGTAACACTCAGAAGTTTATCCCTAAGGAAAAAAACAAGAGAAAGAGGTTGTATATCTGAAGTTGTTCATTGCAATATGGTTGCAGTTGAAGAAGCTGAAATGAAATGGAATGTCTAGCAATTGGAGAAGGTCAAGAAAATTAGGGTGCATTGATGGAACATTTTCTGCTAAAAATGATCATTATGAAAATTAGGTAGCAATAGGAAGAATTGTTCAATGCAGAAGGAAAATTGAGTCTGTGATGTAATTTCAGCCTTGCAGTTGTGCCAGCTCTGGACAGAGTAGGTCAGTCACTCAGGGAAATGTTGCCACTGGGGCCTGGGCCAGTGGAGGTGTGGGGACTCAGGCTGAGCAGTAAAGTTCAAATTCTACCTCCTGGGGCCACTTGGCGTTCAGGAGGACTCACAGGTGACAACAGTAGTAACTCAGTTGATGTTCTCAAAGGAGTACCCCTCCAAGTACTTGGTCTGACTGGCACACTTAGGTAGAGCGACTCACCAGCTGGGTAAGAAAGGAGTGTAGGCCTCCCCAGAGGACTTTGAAATCAGGGTCTGGAGATGTGGTGCTTGAGGGATGTGAGAAAAGGGGCTGACTCAGACTTGGGGGAAGCCTGCTCCAAGGGTAATGTGCTGCTTTGGACACCCTGAGGAAATAGCCACCAGGTAGGTGGTTGGGGTCCATTGACTATAATGGGTTCATTCATGGATTTGGTGTTGCCTGAGTGGGACTGCGCAAGAACAAGATGGAAAACCATGGAGTATATGGAGCTTAGAGAGGAGCAGTTCAGTTGCACAGAGGCGGTCTGGGGGTCCATGAATCAGCTGTCTGAGATGAGGGGAGGGTGGCTGGCTGACAGATTGCTTGGGCAGAGTCATTTTTTGTTGTTAGGGCACAGAGCCCTAACAAACTTATTCTGTTGTTTTAAATGTTAATGTCAGTGGTGGTAAAAACCTGTCACCTTTCCTTCCTTGGTTGCACTGTTGCATTTTCAGTTTCCATGGCCCATCATTCTTGGTATACCTGCATGGTGAGGGGGAATAAACATAAAGGTTAAAAAAAAGGTTTTAATGTTGAGAAAGTGATGTTAGCAAATGACATACTGAAAGAAATAGAGGGAAAAATGGAGTTCTCTCTTCGCAGTTCTTGGTATTCTTTGCTCTCTGTGTTTAAAATAAAACACATGGGTGCTAGTGAGCTTTTCACAGAACCCTCTGGAGTTCCCCCTTGCTTTGAGGTTTAATGATGACACCTTGAGTCTCTGCATGACTCTGTCTTCCAGATTTAATGATGGCAGGTCTAGCCTTGAGTAGGCTATGCTTACCTTCTCTTTTGTGAGATGCAGGCATTTTGGGGGTCTTGGCAAGAAGTGCCCACTTTTGGTGATCAGGCTTTCCCTTAGCCTAGGCCCTGAGCAGGAATGATGGGAGGAAGCAGTGGATTGGGTATTGGTGGCAAATGGCCTTGGGAGCCTGGTAACCCTTCATCTTCCCAACAGCAGGGCCATCACCGTGTGGATAATCCTGCCCCCAGTTAGAACACTGAATTACAATGTTTGGTTTCCATGTTGCTTTAATATCTGGCTTTACAGAAATCTCATGACTTTCCTCTTCCTGCCTTTGCAACCCTTTGGCATAACTTTCAGGGTTGCCAAGGTGAGTTGGAAAAAATATCTGTTGTCGTGGTTAACTTCCAATATCACTGCACTGAGAATGGAAGACTCCCCAACTCCTTTGGGCCCTGCTAAGCAAACACATTTGCTGAAGAGTGACAGTCTTTTCTACCCCTGCTGCAGTCTCTGCCTGCCCTTCTCACAGGTGCCTTTGGCCTTCATGATCCTTCCTGGGGGTAGGGGAATTATGAGGCCCACCAAGAGTCACCCCCTGTTCCCATGAACCTCCTGGGGTAGGCCGTGCAGGTGGCAGCTGGCAACAGGACAAGTGTGTTTTCCCTTGAGACACCAATGTGGTGACTGCAGACCCTGATTTACTGTAGAGAGAGACCCCTGAGATGTTTGTAATATATGCACAGAAACTGGAGATACAGGTGGGACCTCACTCACCTCTCTATCCATCTGTTCATCCATCTATCAGTTGGTATTCACCAGTCTCTCCTGTGTGCCAGACACTGGTCTAGGAACTTAGGAGGTAAAAGTTAATAAACCAAGGTCCCTGCTCTTGTGGCACATAGCTTCGGGTAGAGAGAACAAGCATGACAAGAACTGGAGTAGAATGTCAGTGTTACAAGAGCTCCGAAAAGGGCAGGGTAGGCGTGGGGCTTCAGGGATCCCTCACTGTAAAGGGTGAGCTTTCCAGAGCTGTAGGTCTGTATCAAGGCGGTGGCTGAGTCGGACCTTGCTTTCCTACAGCTGAGGAGGGTGCCAAAGTGATTTGTTCTGACTTTTTGGTGGTTCCTTGATGCTGTATTCAGGGGATCTGTGAGGAGTTTCCCAGGGGCTTTTGAAGTCCCCCATCTCCTTCCCTTGCCAGTTTGGAATGTGTGTTTTTCTCCTTACCAGTAGGGGACTAGTGGTCCTCCTGGAGCCCAGAGCTGGTGCTTATGTGTCAGACTCCAGAAGCAGGCTGGGTTTGCTTAAGTCCTGTGGGGGGTTTGACTGTGAGGGGGGCTGTGTGTGCAAGTTTTTTGTTTCAGTTGATTGAAGTTCTAAGAACTGATGATTTAGTGATGTCCCCACAGCTGCCACCCTTTGAACAGTTGTGTTTCAGGGCAAGGGTTTTTATATGCTGGTTGATTAGAATGAAAACACCACCAAGCTGTACGTGATCTTTTTTTTTTTTTAAGAGGCATGTATTTTTATTTGTTTGTTTGTTTGTTTGTTTGTTTGTTTGTTTGTACATGCACTGGGTACAGTCAGAAGCGCAGGAGGGTGAGAGAATTCACCAGAGCCAGAGCGGGGAGCAGAGCAGGCAGAAGGACCGAAGTACACTGCTGAGGGGAGCAGCGGGCGGCAGGAGAGGTCTGCGCGCCATGTGGGACCCTCCTCTGGTTGCCGGGGAGCAGCCGGGGATCGAACCAGTGCCGCAGAAGACGCGGGCAGCTTCGCAACCCAGCGCTCAACTGCTGCGCCACCGGGGAGGCCCTGTTCGTGATCTTTGATTTAGCCCACCAGTGACACTTGGTCCTTGCTGGAGCTGAAGCACAGTTCTCCTAGGAATTCTAACTTTGGACTTCGAAGAGGGTTGCCTTTTGGGCAGGAACTCAGGGAGTGGGTGAGGCCAGGGCCCTGGCAGCCCTGCAGGGGGTAAGAGGAGTGGAGGAAGTTCTGTCTACATCATATTGTATATAAACCTCCCAAGGTGACTCTGATCTCAAGGTCTGTGTGAAGCACTGCCACATTTCCAGCTCCAGTGATGCTGGTGCTGTTAAGTCCTGTGTTACACCTGAGTGCAGGGAGGGACTATCCCACCTTCTGGGAGGAAAGGTCAGGGCTCAGTCTCTAGAGCTTTCTTCCTGTAGAAGAAAGTCACATAGAACCAGGAGGGAAATAAGCTGTCACATCAGGAGGATGGATTTCAGTGGTGGCTTCCATGACTATCTGGAGAGGACAGACTCTGCAGAGATTTCCTGGTCTTGCTCTTCGAATCTGGGCAGTTGGCTCCCTCTCCTGGGTCTGCAGTTGAGGTATGAGGAAATCTTGTAGGTGTACTGATGAGGCGCAGGCTCTGAAGTTCAGCTATGGGTGGCTAATGAGCATTTTACTTCACAATCTGTGAGACACTTTACCCTGCTTCAGCTACACAGTACATCCCCTGAGGTCTGGTCTGGCTCTAAGCCAGGGATCACTCTTGCCAAGTCTAATTAGAATGTTCAGTCAGTTCAGTACACAGGTGTTTGAGAGGGGCATGCAGAATGTCCCAGAAAGAAATGTAGATGCTTGCGATGCCTGCAAAGCCCAATGAGCTCCAAGGAGAGCATTGCATGTGGTTTTACTTTTGTTGTTCAGTCCTTGTGATACTCCTGGGATACCTGGGCGTGATAATCCTCATTTTACTGAGAAGAAAAAGAACTTTCCACTTCATCTCCATCAAAGAAGCATCTCTTCTTTTTGCTCACTAGCCCTCCTACTTTTTCTAGGACCTTGTTGCATCTGCATTTTCCTCCCATGATAGTTTATAGCTTCATTGAGGTGAAATTGACATACAGTAAAACTATACACATGTGAAGTATACAATTTGCTATATCTTGACCTATAAATATATCTGAGGAATCATCAAGTCTATTTGGAAATGAACACAGTCATTTTCAGAAGTTTCCTGTTGCCTTTTTATAATCTTCATTCCAGCCCACTTTGCCCAGGCAACTGCTTGCCTTTTTTTTTTTTTTTTTGGTCACTGTAGATCAGTTTGCTCATTCTGAATTGATTTTGTGAAATCATGCTGTTTTATTTTGTTCTGGGCTTGCTTTCAGTTTTTATTCAATTGATTTTGAAATTCATGCATGTCGTATGTGTCAGCATTTCATTTTATAGATAGACTACAATTCATTTATCCATTTGTGTTGGAGACTGATAATCTCCAAAACATCTTCTGGAGTAATTATACCATTTTATATGCCTACCAGCAGTGTATGAATGAGTTCAGTTGTTTTACATTTTGGCTGGCACTTGGTATGGTCAGCCTCTTTAATTTCAGTCTTTCTAGTGGGTTTGTAGTAGTAGCACATGGTTTAATTTGCATCAGGTCAAGGAAGTTTCTCTTTTATTCCTAGTTTGCTGAGAGTTTTGTCAAATGTTTCTTCTACATCTACTGGAATGGGAATAAGACTTCATATTTTGGCTGCATGTATGGCAGGTTACATAGATTTTCAATGTTACCTGCACCACTTCCCCCCTCCCCATCCCCACCCCACGCCAATATACACACAACACTTGAATTTCTGGCTTCCCTTTCTTCAATGTCTTCCTTCCTCATGTGGGCAGACTTTCCTTATCCTAAGTGTTCCATTGCCATGCCTTAAGCCAGCTGTCCATTTCTGCTCATGCAGGCAAGAATGGACTGCCTGCATAGGTTAGTCGTGAGCTTGTGGTTGAAGAAGTGCTATATAGTTTGGGGTGGGGTTGGGGGGTGCTGCACCTCCCCCTGCAGTGACCTTTAGGAATGGCTTTCGCCAAGGTCCCTAGGTCCGGCTGGGCAACCAGCTCCCAGGGGGAGAACAGCAAAACACCCTGAAGCAGAGGAAGTACAGCAGAAGTTCCCTGAAAAGACAGAAGCTTATCAAAAGATAAAAGACCACCAGGGACCACTACAAGAATGCTAAAAATCTTATCCGTCTTTCTAGAACTACAAACTTTAATCCCTTATTGTCTTTCTAAACTTCCTTCTTTCTTCTATAAAAGTCATTGCCTGTTATGTAGATCACCACCCTGATGGTGATAGGCTGAGCCCATGAGCAAGCTGATTTCATTGATATTCATTGTTCCTGTGCTTTTGGAAAACATATATATACTGGTCACAAACTCAAAGAAAATTACACTCAGATTTCACTCTTGAAGTGTGTCTGTTTGTCATTTCTTTCACCGACGCCCTGACCACCCTGCACGCTTCTCTCAACCCTGAGGTGGCCTCATCGTCTACTGCTGTGCTGGTCCGCGGCAGGGGGGGTTTTGTGTTCTCAGAGGAAGCTGCGCATGGTGTGGCAGGAGATAGATGCAGTAGGGCACTCACACCTGTCTGGCTGTCTCCAGTAATCTTAGCACTTGCACCCTTGTGAGGACCCTGAGATGCTAAGTGCTTCTTTCTGGAACCTTTGAGTTCACAGGGCAGGAGTGTGTGAACCTGTTTCTTTGTGATCTGTGAGGTGTGTTCTATAATGTGCTGAAGTAGCCTCTTTTGGTGTTGCCTTGGCTGGGGCTCCTTTCTCTGGTGTCCCAGCAACAATGTTGAGCCTCAGTGGTAGTGTTCCACCTGTTAATCCCGACTCCCTGCATCTGCTACTTCAGTGCTAGGTGCTCAGAAAGCATTTAGTGACTTGTTGAAGGGGGTTCTAGAAGGTCATTGGTTCTC